CCCCGTGGGTGGGGGCTTGCTCCCCACTGACTCAGTTTCCCCAATTTGCGTGGGCCTTCCACAGCCACACTGGAGAGAAAAAGATGTGAAATCCGGGGGAAATGGGACTGAAAAGCCACAAGCATCCCCGAGGCTGTGAGAGGAGGGTAGGACCTGACCCCACCTATGAACATAATTGTCAAAATGGATCAAAGAGGGTTGACAGTATCACTGAGCCACCCCAATCAGTTGCTCCATGCCAGCCACTGAACAGCTCCCCTGTGCAGCAAGGGCCAGGACGGCACTCGGTACTCACACCGCAGAGCTTTCTGGACACGGCGCAGCTTCATGGCCGTCCGATAGGCCGAGAATTTGATGTTGTTCAAATCGGCTGCAAAACGACACGAGAGAAGTGAACGTCGCCGCGGGCTGTGCCTCTCTGCGCTCAGCGGCCGGGTGGAGCACTCACCCGTCACAGAATTGCAGGGAAAGCGTCCCTTGAACTGCACAGAACCTGAGCCAAAGGACGCTGTGCCAGCTCCCACATGCAAGAGGATCCACGCGCCCTCAGGAGGAGTGTGTGTGACTGAAGGCAGCACAGATCACGCCAGGCCTCCACAGGGTCTCTGGGACCCTGGTATCGAGGGGAGCCGAGCACAGGGAGCTCTCAGGGTGCCGGGGGGAGATTGCGAATGTACCCGGGGGAGGTACCTAGAGCTGCTCTTACCCAGTGTTTGGTATAACTCTGTCATCTTGGGGTGGTCCCAGCAGGTTGTCTGAGCCTGGTGGCTGAAGGAAGAAGGTAAGTCACTAAACCTGGAAATGCACTGGCAGACACGTGAGCGGGCTGATGGGTCTCCAAAGTACATGCCGTATTCCCGCATGGGCGCTCTCTCCAGCCCCAAACCAGGCCACAGATATCTGTAGGCTTCTGCCCATCATCTGACGGCCCTGCATCTCCACCTCAGCACAGTGGTGCAGAGACAGCCCACATGCTCTTCTTATTGGGGGCAGGGGACTGGTACCAATATCCAGGGGATTCCCAGTGCGCACAGGCAGGGGTGCATTCTGGAGGCTAGAGGTCCTTTCCTGTCTGGTAATTTCACCTCCAGCCCCACCTCTTCTGGGCTGACTTTGTGGGTTCATCCTCCTCCAGCATTCACCCCTTACTTACCAGCTAAGAGACACTAGGGGGTGCCCTACAGCAGCACTTGCCAAACTACCTCCTTTTGCACATTCCCTAGTCTGCAAAGATCCCTTCTGCAAAGCCTGCTGGGCGTTCTCAAGGGAACGCATCTCCTGCCCCAGTCACAGCTGAGCGTGGGACTCAGCGAGGTTCCTACTTGCCCCAGAGACTGAGGAGTTTGCACTGTGCCTACAGATCTGCCCGCAGGGGAAAAGAGGCCACGTGGGCTGTGTCCGCTGAGATGGGAAGGCGGTGAGCTCACCGCACACGCTCCTGGAACGGACAGGATTTGTGTTTTACCGCATCAAGGCCACGCAGGCCTTACTGGAGAGGAGTGGCGAGTCCCACGGGGAATGGAAGACAGGCCGCGAGCCTGGGACAGCGTGACCGAGAGATCAGCCACTCTGCCGGCCTCCGAGCGCACACTCACTTGATGTAGTACGGCACTTTGTTGGGTGAAATCGCTCGTTCCCAAGGAACCTGGACGGAGGCTGCAAGGAGAGAGACACACACAGAGGCTAAAGCCATGCCAGACAAACCCCTCTCGGCGGAGCGATCGCAGCTTGCCAAGTGATGTGCTTGGGGAGCAGAGGCAAGGGGGGACCAGGGACACCTGCCCTGTCAGCACAGAAATGGAGTAACCTGGTGGGTCCTCAGCCTCATCCTGCTCCCCACAGTTGGCCCCAGACAGGACCCCGTCACTGGGATTCTGCAGTGGCCTCAAACTGTGGTCCCTGGTCAGTGAAATTTTGCCTTAGGGTCCATCCTTGAGACCCCAAGGTGGGCGGGTTTGAGGGGTCAGTGGGTGTGTGGGTCCCCAATAAATCCACTGGGCTCCCCAATAAATCCACCTGCTGCCCCTGCTGCCATTAGAGAGTCCTTCTGGTCAGGGGCCAGAGGCCTGTTTTTCTGAAGCGGAAGGACCAGGGTGGCGAGGAGCCAGGCCATGACTGCTTTGGCTGCCTGCAGCACCAGGTTCTTTGCCCGGGGAAAGGGAACCCTTTCAGTACCACTCCCAGCTCCTTTCAGTGCCGGTGATTTCTGAGCACCCCGGTCACGGCGTCTCTCTCAGGGCTGGGAACCTTTTCTGGGCTGGGGGGCCGGCGACCCCCAGAAAAATCAGTCAGAGCCCCGCACACAAGTGAGAAGCAAAAGCCAAAACCAAACAACCCTCCCTCGCTAACATAGCCCCCGACTGAGGGGGAGAAAGACCCTCCCCACATACTAGAGCCTAGGGGGGCCAGGCTAGTAGATTCTGTGTGCTCCAGGAGTCGCTGCTGGGTTCCTCATGCTGCCCACCCGGCCTCCTGATGGAGCCAGCCCAACGGTGAGGGACTGGCATCCCGCCTCACAGCGGAAAACAGGCACATTCTCTCCGCCCCTGTGGCCTTTTTGTGGCCGTCGGTCGCCTGGCCCCGGGAGTCTCAGTCTGGCACAAACCCAAGTGTCCCCGGGGAGCGAGTTTTGGCTCATGTCATCCCGTCCGTGTTACTGCACGGGGCACCGCTCTACCCACTGGTGCATGTGGCCAGCAAGCACGGACCATGGTACCCTGGGGAGCTGCCTCCTGCATTAGGGCTCATCTCCAGAGAAGGTTGAGCTACAGGGAACAAAGGCCACTACTTCCAAATGCGAGCGTCCATGCAGGTCACTGCTGCCCAGTGATTTCACCCAGCAGTGGATCTGATGTATTCCACCCCGCCCCGGTGTCCTGTACCCTCCAGGTGTCATTGTAACCACCACCTGGATTCAAATCCCGGAGGATCCCCCACTACCACAACCGGACAGATTTGAACCTAGGGCCTCTGGAGCTTAGTGGGGGCGTCTCTAGCACTTGAGCTAAAAGCCAGCTTGCTCTCAGGGCCGGCTGTAGAGCTCCCTTGTTCCTATCGCTCCCTGTGCGTGGTCTGAGTGCCGCTGCGTGGATCGCGAATCACACTAGGCGTGTGGGTTACATCACGGCGTTCTCATCTTGGGTAATGCCACGTAGTAACTGCCACACGACCGGGCCTCCTCTTAGCTGGTTATTGGGTTGCCTGGCAGAGGGAGGCTGGGGCGGGAGGGATCTTGTGTGGCCAAGGCAGTAGGAAAGGCAGGCAGGTGTCAGCCCGTACAAAGCAGCAGGCACAGAGCTGGGCTTCTCCCGCCCGGAGGGGCTGGGACCCTGGGACGCTCGGCTCACGTACTGGAGAGGAAGTGCTGAGAACCGGGTCCAAAGTCCCGATGGGCATCCTGGAGCTGCTTCAGGCGTTCGTTAACGGCGGCCTGGGAGAAGGGGGGACGGGAACTCAGGGTCGTCCTTAGGCCCACGCAGAATATGCAGCTGCCTAGGGCACCACGACATTTGGGGCACCCCTGTGTCCCTAATTAAGCAGTGCCCTGTGCTTCGTCTGCCTAGTGCTGGCTGAGGGCAGTGCCACAATCCCCTGCCCCCTGCTCTGGTGTCCCACCCCCTCCTTCCCCCAACTCCCCGCTCTGGCAGCCAAATCCCCCAGCCCCCTGCTCCACCTACTGGCACCTGTGGCCCTAATCCCCCACCCACTGGAAGCTGCACCGCTCCCCCTTCTACCTGTTGCCCCACCAGCCTCCCTGCCCGGCTCCTGCCCCCTGCAGTGTTGCTGCCCTGCTCCCCTGTGGAGGATGGGGGCGCAGGTGCTGGGGCTGCCGAGGCTCCAGAAGTCAGGACGGCCCCGCTGGAACTGAAAGTGAACCTCTCCGGGATCAGCTTGTGGAGCTGTCAGGTGGCATGGCCCTGCGACCCACTGCCCCGGTACCCCCCTCGCCCCACATCCCCCACCTCCCTGGGTCTCCCCTCCCTCCCAGCCAAACCTGCCTGCCCTCTCCCTTGCCTCCCCCGGGCCAGAGCCTCACTATGGCGCCACCAGAGTCCCTAGAGCCACTGCCCCTGGGAGCCCCTGTGGCCTCTGTTCTCCAAAGCCCCACTGAACACTCACCACCCCCTGCTCAGACATGGGACCCCGGGTGCTCAGACAGCCCCTTCTCCATACTGTCCTCAGGGCACCCTGCTCCCCTCCTTTGCCCCCTGCCTACCTGCAGCTGTTTCCAGCGGGTGTTGATCTGCTCCAGAGCCCGGGAGTTCTCCATGGACAGGTGCACATCAGAGATGGCAAGCTGGTGCGCGAGGTCGTTCACTAGCTTCACGCCATCCTTCATGGGGGAGAGCTCCTCTTTGAACAGCTACAGCCCGCCAGCCCAAAGAGAAGAGACTCAGGGCGGGACAGAGAGAAAAGCCCGTCACCCTATTCCTTCACCGTAATGCCCCCAGGATGCTCTGGACCAGCCTGGCCACACCCGGGGCCTCCCTGCCGAGCCCTCCCCTCCTGAGAGTGCTAGAGCCGCAGAAGGAAACCCTCAAGCCAGGGTGGAGCTGTGCACACCAGCGCTCCAGTGGAATCAGGTCCCGTGCTTGGGTTACTGATCCGCTCCCAGCTAGCCGAGGAGCCTCTCCCGAGAGTGCCTGGCTTGAGCAGGACACAGCGAGGGGCACATGCTCCACTGGAGAAGACCTCAGGATTAACCCCCCCAGACACCCCAAATCCACCCTAGCACCCGGTGTGACGTAGTGGGGGGTACCTTGCTGGTTGCTATGCTGGGCAGTGGGCTGTGAGTGACCTCCACTGGCTGCTGTCAGCAGCACGGCCCAGCAGGGCAGGGGGTGAGGCATTATGCAAGGAGGCTTCGAACCTGTCCGACCAGTTATCTCCCAGGGAGCAGAACAATGGGAAGAAGGGGAGTGGAGCCCTGGCTGGGGGGCAGGGCTGGAAGTGAGTGAGTTAGGTTTCTGGCTGGGATCGTGGAGGAGACAACCTAGACAACGGGCTGGGCTTTAGGGGCCCAGGCTCCCCCATCTGAAGGGGGGCTGAGGCATCCTAGGCCTGCTCTGTAACCGGATTACATCTGTGCTGTGCTGTATCCTGGAGAAGCAATAAACTCCCACTGTTCTACTGGCTGGTGGAGTCTGTCCGTGCCACTACGGGGGTGCAGGAGACAGGAAAAGCCCAACGCGCCGTCACACCCGGTCTCCCGCAGGGACCGACAGGCTGAGCTGTACCTTGGTGGCCTGGATGTGCTCGGGTAAGGAATCGATGAAGAGGTCGCCGATGGGCTCCCAGGCGCCTCGCACGCTCTCGGCCTGGTCCAGGGTTGCGCCAAGCTCCTCCATGGCGCCCTTGACCTCCAGCAGCTGCTCCAGCGTGCGCTCGATGTGGCGGTGCTGGTCCACGCAGCGGGCGGTGAGCTTCTCCCACAGCTCGCTGGCCACGTTGGCTTGCTTCCAGACAAACCGGCTGACGTTCTGGATCCGGTGCCGTGGAGACGCATCTACGGGCAAAGCCGCCGGGCCACAGCGAGCAGCCGGGAGAGCCCAACCGCAGCAGGGACAGCCAACCCGAGGGGGAGGTGACAAGAGGAAGGAGGGAGAGAGAAGCAGGGAGAGTTGGGAAGAGGAGGAACCCAGGACCGAGGGGAGGGAGAGAGAGAGAGAGAGAGAGAGAGAGGGCAGTTTCAGCTCACACCACAGAATCAGCGGAAGGCAGGGTCGGAAGGGACCTCCACAGGTCATCAAGTCCAGCCCCCGGCGCTGAGGCAAGGCTGAGGAGGCCTAGACCAGCCCCAACAGGGGTTTGTCCAACCTTCTTCTCAACAGCCTCCCCCGGTGGGGATTCCACAACTTCCCTGGGAAGCCCGTTCCTGAGTTTAACGGCCGCTTTTCCTAATGCACCTGTGCGATTCTTTTCTCTGCTTCCTTACATCCCCCATTGGCCGCGGTGAACCATCAGCCAGGCACTGCAGGGCTGACAAGGACCTCTCGTGGACTGCGGCCACCAGTAGCTTCAGCTGTGGTCTGTGTCCGTGCACTGGCACAGGATCCTCCGCAGAAGGAGCAAAGATGGGTCTGCTGCCTTTAAACCACAACGCCTGAAATCCTTCCCTGGGCAAACAGCCCCTCAAGGCAAAGGGAGCTTTGCCTAAGGGCCTCCTAGCTGGGCCCCTCTATGCAAGGGGCATTCTATTCCTGTTACACAGATGGAAAAGCTGGTGCAGAGAGGGGTTAAGTGATGCACCTGAGGTCAAAAGGCAGGTCAGTGGCAGAGCCAAGTGCTGATCAGCATAGAGAACTCGGTGCTCCGCAAAGGGGCCTGGTTATTGGCCATAGCAGGTCACTTCACTCCTCCTCATTGGTGGGGAAAGCACAGGAGCTCCCCCCCCACACACACACACACTAAGAGTGGATCTGGGCCCTGCCCCCTTGCCAAGGAAGGGAGCAATGGCTGGCAGCAGTTGGGGGTAGGACATGAGGAAGAGGAGAAACCCCTCAAGCCCCCAAGGAAAGAGAGCGCCCTCCACCAGCTGCCAGAAGAGTACCTCTCAGGTAAGGCTGGGACTTCCCAGAAGGGGGGTGGCTCTGTTGAAGGGCTGGCACAAGAGTTCATGTCCCAGGCAAGCGGCATGCTTGTTACATCACTGGTGTACCTCACTGCATCTCTCAAGGACGCACTACGCACCACCCGCTCCCAGCATGCACTGCAACATGCCGGGCCTCAGCCCCTCCCAAAGTAGCATGACCTCGGATGGGTCTACCCTGCCCTCGGAGACGTGATGGACACACAGTCAGACACACCCAAGCCAGCTTTAGTCAAGTTGGCTTCATTGGTGGCCTACCCACAGAGTGGCAGTCCAAGGTAACACCCCGGCATTACCTAAGAACGGCCGTACTGGGTCAGACCAAAGGTCCATCTAGCCCAGTAGCCTGTCTGCCGACAGTGGCCAGCTCCAGGTGCCCCAGAGGGGGTGGACCGAAGACAATGACCAAGCAATTTGTCTCCTGCTATCCTTCTCCAGCCTCTTACAGAGGCCAGGGATACCACTTCTATCCCCTGGCTAATAGCATTTTATGGACCTAACCTCCATGAAATTATCTAGCTTCTTTTTAAACTCTATTATAGTCCTAGCCTTCACTGCCTCCTCTGGCAAGGAGTCCCACAGGTTGACTACACGCTGTGTGAAGAAGAACTTTCTTTTATTAGTTTTAAGCCTGCTACCCATTAACTTCATTTGGTGTCCCTCTAGTTCTTCTATTATTGGAACTAATAAATAACTTTTCTTTATCTGCCCTCTCCACACCACTCATGATTTTATATGCCTCTATCATACCCCCCCCCCCTCAGTCTCCTCTTTTCTAAACTGAAAAGTCCCAGTCATTTTAACCTCTCTTCATTACACTGTGCTATGCTACTGCACACTCCATTCGTCCACGTGGCACTGCAGCCCACGACGCCATACTGCACCCTGCTCTCATCTCTTCCCGTGGAGCGACAGCACGTCGGGTCCGAGAACTAGGCCCTGCTGACAGGGAGGGGGAGGAGAGCGGCCGGCCCTACGCACCTTTACTTTCAGAATTTGGTTCCTCTAATTCCTCGAACGGGTGCTGGGAAAGGAAGGCCTGCGCCGACTCCAGGACAGAGTAAATGTACGGGCCCCGAGACTTCACCTCTTCCATGAAAGCCTGCGGAGGGGAGGCACAGCAGGACAAGAAAGGCCGCGTTAGAGAGGTGAACGGCTCCCTTCCTCCACCGAGCCGGCAGTGAATTACTGACTGCAGGGCACGGCGAGCGGCGGGCTCGGCACGCGTAACTGAGACGCGAAGGAAGCGCTGCCTGCGTGGAGGGGCCATGCACAGTTTCAGCGCCCGAGGACAGCTAACGGATACACGGCCCTGGGATCCATGGACAATCCCCGCACCGGGAAGGGGAGAGAGATCAGGGGAGCTCGACGGTGTCTCAAACAGGCGGTGGCGGGCGTGTTCTGGGCTGTGGATTACAGAAGGGGAGGTGCTCTGCCCTTTGGAAGGTTTTAAACTCTCGGTCCTGCCGTGAGGGCAGGGGACTGGACTCAACGACCTCTCGCCGTCCCTCCAGTCCTGTGGTTCTAGGATTTCCCTCCATTAGGATGGGATGACACTGGCCAATCAGATTTGCTATGTCTATGTGCTATAACACCACAGGGGTTCCCACACCCTCTCCAGAGCTGTCCCATCCACAGGATGGTTCGGGGCAGCCACCCCAGGCCTCACACATTTGGGGGAGGGGGGGCTCATAGTAGCCACCCCGACTGTCATATGGGCAGGACCCATGGGATTATCTGGGGTACAGGGTCACCCCCTCCCCCTACTCTCACCACGGTGGTGGGATCCGGAGCAGCCCAGCAGCTTGTTTCATTCTGCCCTGCCGCTGCCTCCCAGCCTCAGCAGTGGCAGGAAGCAGAGTGCCCTGGCCCTGCACTTGGGTCTCGGGGGAGGGGGAGTTACCCCAGACCCTGCATCCCCCTTGGGGCAGCCCTGTCCCCGTCACCGTAGATCAGTCAGACAGGTGACCCAAATTGGTCTCTGGGATCCCAGAAGGCAAGTGTCCGGCTCCCCGAGCGTGGCCGAAGAAAAGCATCGGTCCGTGCGAGAACTCGGACACTGCAGCCTGCTGGGAAGCCGATGAGAACCAACAACCAGTGACGGAGGCTCGCTGTGCTCCCCCACATCCATTTCCTCTGTCACACAGATTTACTCTCCGTGCTTCACGCTCAACGACCCTGCGCTTTCCAAACGGGACTGATTCTGTTATTCACTAGGGGAAACTGAGGCTGCAGCTTTTCAGGAGACCGTGGCTCTGTCCCACAAGGGACGGACATTGTGCTGGCCCCAGTGAGTCACAGGGGGACCGGCAAGGACAGCTGTGGAGCAGAGGAGCCAGGTCCTCCTGGCAGGTGAGCGAGGGCAGGGCTCCAGGGAGCGTACCGCATGCGTCTCTTTCTCCTGCTGCACCAAGAGCACGTCTCCCCGGAGCGGGAGCTGGGCAGAGAGCTCTTCATCCTTCTGACCCAGCCAGTCGATGATCTCCTGGAGGGGGAGCTGCAGCTTCCCGCTGTGGTCGGAAAAGGCCTCCAGACGAGCCCTGCGCAGGAGGGGTGGGAACCCAACAGTCACAGAGCAGAAACAAGGATGGAATTCACAAAGGCAGGCGTGGCCTGGGCCCCTGCAGCCTGGTGGGACTCTTCTGCCCAGAGGAGAGGCAGCCAGGCAGGAAAGCTACGGGCAGCCGGCCCCTGCCCAGTGACTATAAGAAGGCCAGATTCTGCCCTGTGGCCAGGCACGGGGGAGCGGCTCCCTCAGCCTGTCCCAGGTGAGCAGGCACACGGATTCTGCCCTGGCATGGCTTGCCGCAGAGGGCCCCCTCTGTGGGTGATTTCCAGGGGCTCAGGGTTACACGTCCTTGCTGGTGTCACCAGGGGCAGGCAACAAGAAGCCCTTAAGGGGTTTCTGATCCCCAAGTGCGTGATGGGGGAGGTCAGAAGAATTGGCCCAGACACGTGCATGCACATGGCACGGCCGGAGCTCTGGCTACACCCATATTGGCAAGGACTTGGCTGTATGTCGTAGCCAGCGGGACGGTTTCCAGGAGCATGTGTGTGTCGAGGCAAAGTGCAATGAACATGCCCCAGCTGAGCTCTCAGTGAGGCTGGCTGGGGAGCTGTAATCATAGAGGGCTGCGGAAAGGCACGTGCTCAGCTGCAGTGTGGAATGGAGCGAGGAGCAGAGAAACAGCAAGCATGGCAGGGGAAGAAAAGATCAAGGGACAGGAGGAAAGAAGAGACAGACAGACAAGGGCAAACGGAAGGAAAATACATGCCAGGCAGTACAACAAAGGAGAGGGTGGCTCAGAGATTTGTCTCTGCTTTACGGGGGAAACTGCACCGAAGTCACAGCGAACTCGGGTGGCAAATGCACAGAACAAGATCGAAAGGCCTGTGCCGAACAATTCCCACGGGCAGCCCCAGGGCACAGTGAAGACCAGCAAGCTCCCGCCGCTCGGAGTCCTACCGAAGGCTGTGGGATTTCTTTTTGATCTCGTTCCAACAAAGATTCATCTCCAGGGGTAGCTGGGGCCCGTAGGCGCTGTTGGGAGCCTGCGGGGTTACACGGGACGCTCCTTCACCATCTTCCGCTGCTTTAACCTAGGCAGAAACACAAACACACTGCAGCTAAAGGATGGCTAGAGCTCATGGCTGACTGCTGCTCTCACCTCTGCCACTGACTCACTGTGTGTTCGTGGGCACAACCCTTAACATTTATGTACTGGATTCACCTTCTGTACAGAGATTGAAATGCCAGCCTGCATCACAGATGGTCTCGATGTTTTGTTAAGGATTTAAAGCACCGGAAGGATGTTCTGGCTGCGTGACCAATAACGTTATCAGCATTTACAACACTTCAGTGGGATGAGGGGTTTTTACTTTTATGCTCCCAGATTTTCTTGGTCTGGTATTCCAGCATCCACACATGTCCAACCACTGCCCTCTATTGGACAGATTCAGAATTACATAAGAATGGCCATACTGAGTCAGACCAAAGATCCATCTAGGCCAGTATCTTGTCTTCTGCCAGTGGCCAATGCCAGGTTCCCCAGAGGTAGTAAACAGAACAGGTAATCATCAAATGATCCCTCTCCTGTCACTCATTTACAGCCTCTGACAAACAGAGGCTAGAGACACTATTCCTATCCATCCTGACTAGTAAGTATTGATTGACCTGTCCTCCATGAATGTATCTAGTTTTTGGAGGAGGGTTTTGGCCCCTGTTAAAATCCTGGTCTTCACAACATCATCTGGCAAGGAGTTCCACAGGTTGACTGTGTGCTGCATGAAGAAAAACTTCCTTTTGTTTGTTTTAAAGCTGCTACCTATCCATTTCATTTGGTGACCCCTAGTTCTTAAGTTACAGGAACAAGTAAATAACTTTTCCTTATTCACTTTCTCCCCACCAGTCATGATTTTATAGACCTCTATCATATCCCCCCTTAGTCTCCGATTTGCTAAACTGAAAAATCCCAGTCTTTTTAATCTCTCTTCATATGGCAGCCGTTCCAAACCCCTGATCTTTTTTGTTGCCCTTTTCTGAACCTTTTCCTATGCTAAGATAACTTTCTTGAGTTAAGGTGACCACATCTGTGCGCAGTTTTCAAGACGTGGGCGTACCATGGATTTATACAGAGGAAGTAAGACGTTCTCGGTCTTACTCTCGATCCCGTTTTTTCCCTAGACTCCACACCACTACCAGCTAATAGAGATTCCTATTCATCGTAGGCAATTAGAGCTGGTGCTTTTGAAGCAGCAAAACGCACACGCCTCTAGTTTTAGTCCAGCTGCTGCTATTCAGTTCCTAGCAGCCCCAGCGTGCCGCATGGTGACAACCAGGAAGGTGCAGGTGAGCACAGATTTGTTATAATATGAATGGCCCTGGCTTTGAAGCCTTCGCCCCCACAGAAGACAGACTATGAGCTCCCACCTGCAGTCTTCTACAGGTGACAACATGCTCTGGCAGTCCAGAGACCCAAATGCCAGAGACTGCTTCTTCTCTGCCCCCGCTCCAGGAGGAGCGTGCAGGCATGTGACACTCAGGAGGAGAGCCACAATTCCAGACACACTCCAGTAACTTGAAGAAAGGCGCTCGCACGATACCTATTTGCATGCCGGAGTGCTTTTCATCCGTGCACTGTACATCCCTCAACCTCGTGGGAGCAAGGGAAGCTTTATTGACAGTTTACAGGTGGGAGAAAGCAGGGCATGGCACAGGGAAAGGACTCGTACAGTGAATGGGTTGCAGCGTTATGAGCTGAACCTAATCTCCTGGCTCCCCCACCAGCGTTCTGATCACTAGACGGCGCTACCTCCCCTGACAACTGTGAAGACTGTCCCTTTGCCAGTCACACCAGCAAACAACTGGGGGGAGGCGTGATTGAAGTGGGATACAAAGACACATACACCATGTATTTGGAGTGCATGGGGAAGGGCTGGTGTGTGACCATCAGGGTAACTTTCTGCCTGTTCCCAAAACACACAGTTACAGTTGTCACAGGTGGGCAGCTGTTGCATTTTGATTGGGAAATTACATTTCTAATGTCTTGGCAGGGCTCAAAAGTGGTAACAGTTAATGATTAGCAACCTTCGTCCCAAAGTGCTTTCCAAATGATCTGGAAGGGAACGTTTACACAACAGGGCAAAAGCCGAATTAAGCTATGCAACTTGAGCTACGTCAGCTGCGTAGCTGAAGTCAAAATAGTTTCATATGGCTTTTGGCGCTGTCTATACAGCAGGGAGTTGAAGGGAGAACACTCTACCTCCGACTTCCCTTACTCCTCGTGAAATGAGGGTTACAGGAATTGGAGTAAGACGTGATTTTGAAATAACGGCTTGCTATATAGACGTGCTCTTTGTTATTTCGGCATAACATTAGTTATGCCGAAATAACACTGCTGTGTAGACATACCCTACAGGCATCATTTCATGAGTGCAGCCATCTCTTAGGGGAAGGGTAGTTGTTTCAAACAGCACAGCCACCCTGTAAGTTTGGAGCATGGAGGAAGAGGAGGTGACCATGCTATGAGTTACTGGCATAGAAGGAAAAACTGGCCCCTTCTGGCTTTAGAATCCATCACAATGAGGGTTTTCCAGATTACTGGGGCTCTCACCCTTCTCCCCAGAAAAGCACCAAGAAAACATAAGAATGGCCGGACTGGGTCAGACAAAAGATACACCTATCCCAGCATCCTGTCTTTCAACAGTGGCCAATGCCAGATGCCCCAGAGGGAGGGAACAGAACAGGGAATCATCAAGTGACCCCTCCCCCGTCATCCAATTCCAGCCTCGGACACATAGAGGCTAGGGACACCATTCCTACCAAGCCTAGCTAATAACCATTGATGGACCTATCTTCCACGAATTTATCTAGCTCTTTTTGAACCCTGTTAAAGTCCTGATCCTCACAGCATCCTCTGGCAAGGAGTTCCACAGGTTGACTGTGCGCTGCGTGAAGAAAAACTTCCTTTGGCTTGTTTTAAACCTGCTGTCTATTAATTTCATTTGGTGAACCCTAGTTCTTATGTTATGGGAACAAGTAAATAATTTTTCCTTATTCACTTTCTCCACACCAGTCATGATTGTATAGTCCTCTATCATATCCCCCCTTAGTCTCCTCTTTTCTAAGCTGAAATGTCCCAGTCTTTTGAATCTCTCTTCACACAGGACCCATTCCAAACCCCTCATCATGTTTGTTGCCCGTTTCGGAACCTCTTCCAATGCCAATATACGTTTTTTTGAGATGAGGCGACTGCATCTGCATGCAGTATTCAAGATGTGGGCGCACCATGGTTTTAGAGAGGCAATAAGATATTCTCTGTCTTATTCTCTATCCCTTTTTAAATATTTCCTAACATTCTGTTTGCTTGTTTGACAGCTTCTGCACAGAGCGGATATTCTCAGAGAACTCTCCACACTGACTCCAAGATCTCTCTCTTGAGTAGTTGTAGCTAAACTAGTCCCCATCATATTGTATCTCCAGGTAGGGAGGTACTTAATGATTACAGTGGGGGGGCTGTTTCATTTTCTGTCCCTGATCTGCCACGTCATTCCAGAGAGCATCCCAAAAACCATCAAACACAGAGTACAGAGGAATCCGAGACATGCCGATCATAAATCATTCAAGCGAAAGCTGCTGCCGGCATCCTGAAAGTCAATACATTTCTCGGGCAAATACTCACGCTGCCAAAGTAGGTGAGCCTCGTGTGGCAGAAGCCACCTTCTCTGACCCCAGGGGGATTGCCGAGGGATTAGGGCCAACAGCCCAGCTGAGGGCTCTAGCGGACTGCATGGATCACCCCCCACAGGAAGCCGGATCCTCTCCAGAACCTTTAGGAAAAGGTTAGACGTCCACAATGCCTGCCACTCACTGTGTCCTCTGAATGAGCCCGAGTGGAAGCTGCCAGGCACTGGCCAGATGTGCACCGCCTGCTCTCCCCGAACAAAGCCCCTGCAGGTGAACAGGGGAAAGCAAGGCCGAGGGGGCCGGCTGGCTGGCTCCTTCCCCCTCCGGAAATGAGACGCACCTGAACAGCGCTATTTTTAGACACGCGCGGAGGTTCTGAAGCTTCCCCTACCTGTGCAGAGCCAGGGATCCAAGGGGTGGCTGCTCGGCAGCTGCACAGGGGAGAACATTGTCCCCCTCTCGTCTCAGTGCCATCAGCCAGCACCAGGCAGCGTGCAGCAGGAGAAAGGCCAACAGCAGCCCAGGGAAGCGAGGCAGGGGAAGGGACCAGAGGGCGGGCGAGGAGCAGGACGGGAGGGCTGAGAGGAGCTGCTGCCCTGTTTACTGACCCCCCAGGAATCCCGAGGGAGGCGCGGCGGCAGCCGCTGCGCCAGTGAATCATCGCTTTGTCCTGGTGGAATTCCAGCTCCCTCCAACCTGTCTTAACCCCTGCGGGTGCCACGGCAGCAGTCTGGGTGTGGGGGGCCGGGGGTCCCAGGAGTCACCCTGTGTGCACACGCCTGTGAAAGGCACCGAGGGGGGACAGCGTGTCACAGCTAGCCCCGACCACAGACACCACAGCACTCGGCAAAGTAATAAGGCAGCGGCCCCTGGGCCATCTGGCTCCTGGAAATGGAGTGCGGGATCTGAGAGTTTAATCCCCAATGGACGGGGTCCTGAAGGAATGGTCCGTCGAGGGGCCTGAAAACTCGCCCCAACTCGGGGAGCATCTGGGTCTCTGGCTGAGCCCCACTGTAGTGGAGACGTCAGGGAAGAGAGTCAAGCTCCTTGACAGGACAGGGTGTGTGGACGGGCAGGGGGTGGAACGAGAAACGCCCCTCACGAAGGAGAGAGGGAGGCGCCACTGAACGAGCCACAGGAGTCCACGATTACTCCCAGACACCCTGCCCAGGCCTCGGGGGGAAGGGTGGGCCCTGGCCCACGGCGCCAGGACAAGCCAGGGGCTCGCCGGGTGGGCCTCAGCGGAGGTGGGCATCACAGCGCTGGCCAGGGCCTGCCTGAGGAGCCACAGGGAAGCCCCTCTGTAGATTCAGCATTCCCCGCCCTCGCAGCTGGGGCTCCCCCATGTCAACATCAACATTCCTGGGCGGGCGCACACCCCTCCACGTCCAGGGAAAACATCTTGTTTTTGCCAGAAGGATTCCGGCCCCGTCTGCTCCCACGGAGCCCTTTGAAGTGGCTGCAGCTCGGCATTGTTTCCATGCTCCGTCCCACCTACGGGAACCCGATGAAAAGCGCCCTGTATCGCGCCCTCTCTCGTTCTCGCTCTCTCTGCACGCCTGCCGTCGGGCCCCTCCTCTCCCCCCTGCCCTTCGCAGTCAGGGGCCTCGCCCTTCGCCTTCCCCCAGCCAGCCAGGAGTCCGCTCCGAGGCCAGGACAGTAGCGACGCCAGCAGCCCTGCTGAGGAAGGCCCGGCCCAGGGAGGGGGCCTTGGCGGCCGGTAGGTTCGCTGCCCTGCAAGCTGGTGGCCTGGCATGCTGCCTGTGCAGGGGGTTAACTGCCCTGGCCCTGCAGCACAGAAGGCAGGAGCGACTATGGGTGGGTGACTATGGGTGGCGAGTGCACCTCGGGCACCCTCTTTCCAGAGCAGCGGCTGGTTGCTGCAAGTGTCCCCGAGGCCGCTCTCGCCTCGGTCCGCTTCCCTGCTTCCTCACGCTCCCGTTCCTGTGCCCGGCTGGCCCCAAGGAGAGCCAGTGCCCCGCGGCACCCATGGGCACCCTCTCAGCATGGTCAGGGCAGGCTGCTCGCTCTGCTCTCCCTCTCCCTCCAGCCTGCGTACTTTGTTAACCCCCTCACACACTCCTGGCAACAGCTGCCCGCAGCCACCCCCTCCCCACAAACACTGACTCAGAACGTCACAGGCTCATCTGCGAGCCCCGCATCCAGCCCCGGAACCGGCTCAGACAGACGCCAGCGCCTCACACTTCCCACAGTTTCTCCCCAGAGCTCCCTGCAGTGCAGCGGGAACACACGGCGCTGGGCTCCAGCCCCAGACTCAGTCTCACCGAGCTCCTTGGAGCCAGCAGGAGGAACGCGGAGGCCAGAGAGGCCCTTGCTTCATGCAGGGCAGCACCACTCGGCTGCGGGGAGCGGGTCCCGAACTCCTCAGCCACACGGGGAGGGAAAGGGCAGAGCCTCTGTTGAACCTCCAGATCAGACAAGCACAGCAGCATTTCTGCGCCATTGGCGTGGCTGTTGGGTTAACGGCTCGTTCCCCGTTTGCAGGCGAGACAACTTGCTGGCCGAGGCTTTGCTCAGCACAAGAACTGCAAGAGAAACACCCACCCACCCAGTGACCACTGACAGTGTCTGAGGGACACGCAGGCCACACGGCTGAAACTCCCTCAGCTACTGGGCGCAGCCTGTCCAGCCAGGACTAGCACAGGCCTGCCCCTGACCCAAAGCCTGGGCTGACCTAAAGGGCCGAAGGGAAATAGAGTCCACAGTCCCAACACCCAGTATCGCCAACCCCCAGAGTTCAAAGATCACGAGTCAGGCCCCAACGAATCACGAGATCAGGGTCAAAATCAGGAGACTGAAAAACACTTGGATTTTTTTTCCCTTTGCCTTCTGGTTTCTGAGCAGCAGGGACACATTTCCCACCTCTTCTCTGCAGGCACCGGGGGAGACAGAGGAAATAACAGCCCCGGGAATGTAGGAGGTGCCGCTCTGCTATAAATACAGAAGTTTGGCAACTCTCACTAAAATTCTGAATTAAAAAAAAGAAGGCGACGTGCGACTGCCAGCAAGCCCTGGCACGCTTACCTGAGCTTGGGCGGTGCTGCTGAGACGTGGCTGCTCCACTGTACGCCGCTCACGACATCGTGGCAGCGTGTAGGGGCATGCCTGCATGACCATCGGCTGCATCAGCACGGAGGTTCATGGGGAGGGAGACTTCTCTGGGCACGGGCACCTGAAACAGGGTGAAATCCATTGGGTCAGCTCTCAGGTCCCATCATTCAGGAGAGCTGGCTGAGTTGCAGGGAGAAAACTAGATCTCGCCATAGGAGGACAGAACAAAGACCCAGAAGCCTGCATCCAGCTGTGGCCAGTCCTAGATACCTCTCAGAAAGGCATTTTCCCCCCCCCCCCCCACGCAATGCACTCCTTGTACAATACTGAACCATGGAGGGAAAAGTCTTCTTGGTCCCATCTGCCAGATCAGCGTCTGTCCTGAAGCATAAGGGCTGAAAGGCTGCGTCATTTTTATCCTCCAGCTTGTCTCCCTGAAGATGCTATTTTCTTGCTCATATAAACCTCTACTCCTTTTCGTAAGTAATTTGCCTTGACAAAACCCTGTGAGTTCCACAGATTTACCAGCACGCACGAGTGTCTTCTCTTTGGGCTGAGAGACAGAGCCATAGCGTTTAGTGGGGAAAGCTGCCATGGGCACTAGGAGCCCTGCTGCCAGTTCCCCTCCAAGGGGCAGGAATAATAAATGCATCCCGTGTTTGGAAGGAAAATTGACGGTAAAACCATGTGTGAGAGCTCTGGACAGAGGCAGATATTATAGGAGAGGCAGAAAGATCTTGCGCAAAAAGTGTTTTTTGCGCAAAACGGACACGTCCACACTGCATGTTTTTGCACAAAACCCTCTTGCGCAAAACTGGATTGGAATAGATTATGCAAATGAAGCACGACAAAATGCTAATCAGCGCTTCATTTGCATTGCCTCTTCCAACAAAACACGTAGTGTAGACATAGCCATATAGTATATACTAATGACTCATGATATGGTGTGTGTCTGCAGAGGTTACATAAAGACTATATATAGGCCAGTCCTTTTTATGTATGTAAAAGTCTGTGTGTGTATACGTGTGTATATATATACACATACACACACAAGCCTGTATATAACCCCTGCAGATATGGAGCAGTAATGACCCATGATGTGGTGTGTGTCTGCATATCTGTAGGGGTTATATACAGACTTGGCTGTGTCTAGACTGGCCAGTTTTTCCAGAAAATCAGCCACTTCTCCGGAAAAACTTGCCAGCTGTCTACACTGGCCGCTTGAATTTCCGCAAAAGCACTGACGATCTCATGTAAGATTGTCAGTGTTCTTGCGGAAATACTATGCTGCTCCCGTTCGGGCAAAAGTCCTTTTGCGCAAAAGGGCCAATGGAGACAGCTCAGATTTGTTTTCCACAAAAAAGCCCCAATTGCGAAAATGGCGATCGGGGCTTTTTTGTGCAAAAGCGCGTCTAGATTGGCACGGACGCTTTTCCGCAAAAAGTGCTTTTGCGGAAAAGCGTCCATGCCAATCTAGATGGAAAACTTTTGCGTTACAAGCATTTCTGGAAAATCGTGCCAGTCTAGATGTAGCCACGTGTGTGTGTGTGTGTGTGTGTGTGTGTGTGTGTCTACACAGACTTTTACATGCATAAAAAGGACTGGCCTATATATAGTCTGTATATAACCCCTGAAGATACGTAGACACACACCACATCATGGGTCATTACTGCTCCTAGTAAAAGGCATCTATAACATATATTACATTAAAATGGTTAACTCTGGTCCCTGACCTGTTTCTCCCAGCCACTGTTCTGCTTCTGAATTTCAGTTTAGGCAGCAAAGCAGCTGAGAGATGAGGAACTCTTCTTTTAGAGAGGACACCGTTCTACAATCAGGTCCCAAACCTATAGCTTCCATGTGTTTGGGGCCGTTGCTAAAGCAGGAAAAGTTCAAGGGGGACACCTGGAAATGCCCCAGCTTATATCATTGCACTTGCCCTTCCATGTCACTTTTCCTGTGAGGAGGCCAATATACTTTACAAACATACATCCAAACGCACAACACTGACGTGCCGGTTTTACAAGAAGCTACGGGGAAGTGGAGAGACACAGAAATGAAATGATTTTCCCAAGCAAGTCGCTGGGCAAAGCACAAAAAAAATCACCTCTCTCACCGCAAGACAGCGCCACGAGAGGAACAGAGCGGTAGAGCACAAAGTGAGGGGACTCATGTTGAGGCTAAATGGACAACGAATGTGAACGTCACGTGGGGCACGTCTGTGCAGCGCGGCACTCCAGAAGGTCACTGTACAGACAAGGATGGCTAAGTGTTGCCTATGCGTATGCCCCTGCGGCGCTGAGGGACTCGGCCCCCTTCCAGGTCTACCACTTCTAAGTCGGGTTTCCTACAGAAATTAGAACCCCGCTCCAGTCCTCAGCCCTACAGCCACCCCAAGGCAGTTTCCAAAGGGGTGTGTGAGAAAGACGAAGCCAGGCAGCTGGCAGAAAGCATGGCTGCCTCCCTGGGGTGGCTGGCTCTCACACACAGTCCCACCTGGAAACACTGAGGAGCTTTCTGACGGGTTCTCAGACAGAAGGCGGCAGTATATTCCGACAGCACTGGACGAAGAGAAAGTCCCCCGGCTATAGCCAGTCTCTCTCTCCCATTCGCCGGCCTCTGTTCCGTTTGCTTCCTCCCTTTCTCAGTCTCACAGACACACACTAAGGGTGTGTCTACACTCGTGGCTTCTTGCGCGAGTAATATCCATATCTGCACAATAAACCCCAGATATCTGCAGATATGCTGGGCTTTTGCAAACCACTCCATGTGTAACTCCAGTGAAACTATGGATGACTTATGCCTTATGCATCACAATTGCTAATATCAGATTCTCCCGCATCCCCTGCACACACTCCTCACAAACTCCTAAAAGGGCCTGGACGGCTCCTGCTCCCCCAAATTCATCCCTTGATGGGCCAGGCTGGGTGGCAAAGCTGAGAATGGGGCTGAAAGTCTGAGACTCCCTTTCAGCACATGTGATGTAGCTGGACGATCCGGGTCACAGCGCTGATGAAAGAGTCCATACTCCGTTCAGTCTGGCTGCAGGACGAGGGGCTCGGATGCTCCTCCACACCCCTCTGCTGGAGTATGCAGTGCGCCCTGACTGCCCATGCCTGCCATCCGTTCCTGCTCTTTGCTTTTGGAGCAGCATCTGTGCACAGGACGGCCGTGCTTTGCAGGGAGGTCAGGGGATAATTCTGGAGCTAGGACATGCATGGATTGCAGGCTCCCGGGCAGCTGTATTGACAGAGAATGGTGGAGGCCATCCCACTTTCGACAGAAGCTGGATTTCTGAGGCAAAAGGGGGGGCAGGGCCTATGTGGAGATGGGAATGATCTGGGTCATGCAAAGCATCCCACCCGCACCGTGCAGCACCCTAAGGAAATAAAACCCTTCGGACTCAGTAGAGGCAGAATGGGCGGGGCTGGAAATAGAAGCAACAGCCCTGCTAGTTGAACGCCTTCCCTGCCACTGCATGTGCGCCCAGGGAGAGATTCTCCGCCTCAGCAGAGCCTCTAAAACAAGCATAGTCACCAGAGCTCTACACCGCGCAGTGTCAGCTACGAAGCCTGGCCAAGGAACACTCGCCTACAGCAAACAGCCGGACACTCAGTGGCAGTGATGAGAAAGCCAAGAGTCCTGGTGTGGACAGAGGTCACCATCTCCCCCACAAGCGCTGCCTGCTCCACCAGCAAGGGCGCCATGGACTTTGGGAGCCAGTGGGACCATTACTGAAGAGTTATTTCAAGGGCGGCCGTTGTAACGGCCTGGCTAAGTGAGGACAGAGCAGTTTCAGACATTCAAAGGCCGTTAGCATCAAGGAGAGAGGGGAATCACGTGGGGGGGAAGTAAAAGGCAAAATTGAGGCCATCACAGCGACAGGGAGCTCTGAGGAGCTGTAGAACAGGCTCCCAAGGGAAGGGAAGAAGGCCCATCACTCAGGATATTTAAACTAGACTGGACAGATGAGCTAATCTACGGTAGGGAACATGCCCATGGTGTGGGACGCTGCATCCCCTGGGCACGCTCCGTTTCTCTAGGGCATAGTCCTGTGAGTAGACTGCTTCTTAGAGCAGGGGTGGGGAACCTTTATTGGGTCGGGGGCCACTAACCCACAGAAAAATCAGTTGGGGGCTGCGCACAGTGAGAAGAAAAACCCCACAAAAATGCAACCCCCAGCCTCCCTCACGGACGTGGCCCCCGACTGAGAAGGAGAAAGAGACGCTCCACATTCCCCTCTCACACCAGAGCCGGGGCGGCGGGGGCCTGGCACACCAGCACGGGCTCCCCAATGCTGTGGGGGAGGAGCCCTGAGCCTCGGGGGCCAGATCCAGGCAAACCAGGGGCTGCATCCACCCCCAGGCCTGAGGTTCTCCCCCCAGTCTTAGAGTCACCCCCCACTCTGGAGGGTGGAGTGGAGGAGGGAGATAAATCTCAGCTGTTTCTCCCACCCAAGGCAATCTGTACTGGCCTTCGCAGGCAACGAGGGGATAAAACAGCACACCCTGGCGACGGAGCAGAGGTCAGGCCCCTGGACCTGTAGCCACTTTACAGAGTGCAGAACAGCTGGTCCCATTGTGTTTGTGCAGGTGTGCATGCCCTGGGGAGTACTACAGCCTCCAGGCCTTTGGTATAAAAATTCCCTCCCTGGATTATTCCCGGGGCACTGTGTAAAAAAGACCCCTAGTAACACTCTTCAGCGCAGCACTAACTGATCATTCTGTGGCCATGCTACGGGTGACAGGTGGAGGAGAAGACACAATATGGGGTGTAGGGTTCCCTATACATCTCCAGCCGTCACTTCCTCATCAGAGCCAGTCCATAAAGCATTCCCGTTGGACCCGCAGAGAGGCCCAGAGGCCTGACAGCCGCACCGTCTGCGTGTGGGACACGTGGGCTCCCCGTGTGCCTTTCTGAAGAGGATACGCCGAGACCTGCATGAACAGGTAAGAATTCACAGACATGAAGGCAAAGCCTTCATGAAATGACAACTGGCCCTTTGCCTCATGCCGTATCAGCCGGACTTCTCGCCAATGGTGCAGGCTTCCCCTAGATTACCGACCTTTCACTGGTAACGGGTGCCCCAGCAGAAACTGGTCAATTCTTCCTCCAGTTTATACACCCTGTGCTGCAAACGATGTGCAGACAACAGCGTCGCCCGGTTCAGGAGGCTGCGGCAGGACTTCAAAATGCGTTTACAACGTCAGCCATGGATTTCCAGATCACGCTATCACTTTGCTGAGAAATGTGTCACGTGCAGGTCCTGGCATGACACTTACATGCTGGAATGGCACAGCATTAAGATAGTTTCAAGATAAACTGGATGGTGCTTTAAAAAAAAAAAAAAAACCCCACGCAGATTTTTCCTCTTGCTGATCAAGCTGCACCTGCTTCAGAATCAGTAAGGGAGAGATTGGCCCATTGTCCTGGCTGAAAACCAGTCTGACAAAAGAAACTAATAGTCGCTGCTAAACCACTTCTGCATTTGACTCTAGAATATGATTGTTGCTTCACTGGGGAATCTAGTCTACAGAATTGCTTCTATTTAGAAGTCCATTTCAGCAGCATTTGTTGATTTGCTCAAATGGCAGCGTTTAGGGAGATTTGCTGAATCAAGTCAGACCTTTGCTCCATCTCATTTGGCATCCTGCCTCTGGCAGCTGTCCAACCCCTCGTCAGAGGAAAATGACCATTTCTTTACAAACCACATACCTGACCTCTATCCTCCAGAAGCATATAATTTAATTGCCCTTGTTTTTAGAAATGGACCTAAGCCAAACCCAAATCTGAATCCCCTTACATTTCAGAGGCAGAGACATTCTCATGTCAATCTGGTTCATAGCTCTACAGCCAACTAAATTAAGCAACATTTGGGGAAGTTTGGAGTGGATCCAAACTTTGGGCTTCAGACTCTATATCACTTGTTTAGCACACTGAACACAATTCCTACATACTGTAGCTTACAGATACGGCAAGGAAGGTGTTTCAATCAACCCTCCCCCCCCTTTCCAATCACTAACTTCCCCCCCAAATGTTCCTGTGCCACTAAAACTTGCAATCTGGGGTCTTGGCCTCAAGGGAACAATTTAGTTGATGAATGTTTGAGCTCAGGCTTCTCAGCCATTCTCCAGTTTTAGCAATGGAAATACAAATACATACTGGCTCCATTGCTAGAATGGTTCATGACTTTGTTGCTGGCTAACGTACTGCCCAGTGGCAGACTGAGTGTTCAGAAGGGGCACGGAGGAGGGTTTCGGATATTTCAAAGTTCAGACTCTGCATTTATGCAGAGGAGGTTTCAGTGCAGGTTTAGTTACATCTTAGCAGGATCCTGAACGATCTGAGTCAGCAGGACTTGTGATACTGCACTAACATGTCTTGTTCCAGAATAAACGTCGTCTAAAGGTCACGTGGTGGCAGACTGAGTGTTCAGAAGGGGCACGGAGGAGGGTTTCGGATATTTCAAAGTTCAGACTCTGCATTTATGCAGAGGAGGTTTCAGTGCAGGTTTAGTTACATCTTAGCAGGATCCTGAACGATCTGAGTCAGCAGGACTTGTGATACTGCACTAACATGTCTTGTTCCAGAATAAACGTCGTCTAAAGGTCACGTGGTGAGTAACTTGTTCCTGCAGGAATCCTTTCTGAGAGAGTGGGATCATGGACCAATGTCAGAGAACGAGGAGATATTGCTGCCTAGGGATTGGGTCTACAAGTAAGAAGAGCTGGAGCAGGTGTCTTCGGTCTTCTTTCTACCGTCTCTCAGACTAGGAGTAGAATTACCCCATAGCCCCCTTGTCACACATACATCTGCTTGTCCCTCAGGAGGGTGGAAAACACTTCATCTCATCGGGGGTGGGAGGGAGAAGAGGTGCTTCAAATGTTCAAGCATAGGATCGCTGGGAGTTAGAGGTCAAGCAAGTCAAATGACCAGGCCTTGTCCCAGGACATGCCTGGTGCTATTAGCTGTTAAGAACTTGTAGCTCCTTCATCTCCCTCTTCAGAGTGAAGAAAACTCCGTTCCCCAAACTCCCCAAAGCTCACCCCCACTACAGTTTCTGACTCAATGGGTATCAGCCCAGTGCCACATCACATGTGCTGGCTCCTCTAGAGAATGAAACATGGGGCCTGATCCCATGAAGCGATAAAGGGCCAGGCATCAGAAGAACTGACTGCAATCTGTGACTTGCCAGAGTAGGATCCGAGGCCGCAGGCCAGGGAAGGGGGCCCGAGGGGAGGACCTAGGTGTGTACATGGCCAGCATTGAGGAAAAGGCCCTCCTGAAGAAGCAGAATTCCCCCCTCACCCTTGAAAAAAGTATGTTCTGTGAATAGGACACAAGCTGAGAAACGGCACACACAAAAATCAGGGAATGCAGAAGAGTTAGTGTTCCCACAGCAACGCTAACTAGGCCATGCTGCACACACATAAACATACTCTCACCATGTCGCCTGGACTGTTCCTCTGTCCGACTACATGCAACCCACAGTATATTATTTAGGAGGAGGTTAAATGCTACCGCTTGCCTGTGCTCCCCCTACGCTTGAAAGACTTTGCCAAAATGCTCCCTCTTTAAAGCACATTTGGATTAACCCTCTCTTTCCTCCATTCTCCTCGCCAATCTTTCTCACCCACCTCGATCACACAGTCATTATTTTTATAACAGTGGCACTTAGCAGCCCCAACTGGGATCATGGCCCCATTGAGCTAACAGAGAAGGTACCTGCCCCAAAGAACTCCCAAGCTAGATAGATATGACAGGAAAAAGTCGGGGGCACGGATGCGTTATCCCCATTTTACAGATTGGGAAAGTGAAGCACGGAGATTAAGTCACCCAACACGCCCATGGTAGCCCCAAGAATTGATCGTTAGAGGCTCTCTTTGCGGGGAGGAATGAATCTTACACTGGTTTCTGAAACATGCACCACCCATTGCTAGTGCTATGCAAACTCTTTGTGGTAATACGGAGAACTTACCAGCCGTGAAATGTAGCCGAGTTAACCTCCTGGTGCTTGATCTCTCATTCTTAATGTTGCATTAAACGCACACGTTTTTGTGCCTTGACTATAATTCGCCCCACAACCACCCTAGCTCTCCGAGACAGCCAACCACAGCATGTAGTCCGCCATCCTCGGGAGGCTGTGAATTTTGTGGGTGGCCTGTATGTATGCTTTTCCTTTCCCAGCTTGCCTACGTGCTACCTTGTTCTGGGCTTATAGAGCACGGATCGAACAATTTACGCTCTACTCTCAAGCACTCAAGCTTGATCTTTACACACCTATGACCATCAGGTCATTCGAGGAGTGGATTTGTTTTCCAGGTGCCTCTTGTTACAGGATTTACAATAGCACCTCTGTGCTTTTAGCATTAGCACGGAGCCAGGCCTACTATGCAGCATTCTTTAACATATCATTGTAGTCGGAATTCTCTGGGCATTTTAGAGACCTTGGACCTTTTCTTTTACTGGAACCCACTTGCCAGCTTAAGCAACACATTTTGCCTGGCCTTGGTTGATGGCCAAACATCCTCTCAAAGGCGTATTCCAGCCCCTTAGAGAATCAGAGTCATAGGGCTGGAAGGGACCAAGGGTCATCTAGTGTTGAAGCCCATGGCCAGATGCAGGGTTTGTTGTGTCTAACCATCCAAAACAGGTGGCTCTCCAGCCTCCTTTTGAAAGCCTCCCATGAAGGAGTTTCCACAGCCTTGTTTCCTTGTTCTATTTTCCATTCAGGAAGTTTTTCCTGAGATGTAGTCTGAATCCATTGCCTCTTCTCCTGCTTTTGGTGGCCAGCTGTGTCCCTAGTTATATTTAATCATCTGTCTTCTACCTGCCGAGATGAGGGTGCAGGGACCAGTGACTTCCCCACACCTCAGTGACAAGAGGGCTCGCACAGAACAGATCTGTCAGGGAAAGGAATCCCCCATGGCCCTGGAAGTGTATTTTCCAGATCAACACCCCCAAAGCCTGGAACTGTGTATTCAGGGAAAGGTTCTCCTGATGGCGTAACATAAGCACTAACTGGATTGCGCATCCTCGCTGCTGAGGAGAGATTAGCTAGCGGAGGAGGAAGGAGACGCGATGTAAAGGAACCAGCATTGGGGTGTGGAGAGCACAGACTTTCTAAAGGCGGAATTTGTGTTTTGTTTTTAAACAAAGAGCCCCCAAACACCCACACATTGTCAAAAGTGGCTTTCCTCAGCTGCCAACACATTTGAGAACCCACGGGCAATTCAACAGCTCTTCTCCGCCTCCAGCCCTCCATGCTGCCCCACCGAGGGAGTAGGGGAGAAGAAGGTGACTGGAAACGGGCTGGGGCGCTAGTTGCGGTACCATGTGGTACCTGGGCCTTGGCTGATGGGCCTGGAAAGGAGGTAGAAGCAGAGTGCTCAGCTGTGGAGAGCAGGAAGTGGCCTGCGACCTCTCTAGGCGGTGAGGGAGCAGGACGAGGAAGTAGTCCTGGTGAGCCCTCCTCAAGCAGCAACTGAGACGTGGGTCCTCAGTGGGAGAAGGGAGCAAGGGAAAAAGTGGGAGGGGTTGGAAGGAGCCGCAGGGAAATCATATAAAGCAGCAGCAAGCCCGAACAAGGAAGTGAATGAAAGGCCAGGGCTGGGACCACAGTCCCCGGTGCTTCTCAGCTGAGCCCATCTCACCCCTTGAAGGAGCGTTAGGCTCCGCTTTTCCCTGCCGGCTGGTCCTTCCGGGAGAATGCTAGGCGGTCACCATGCCCTGCTCTGAGCAACCTTCCAGCTCGGCAAAAAGCCCCTGTCAGTGTCAACAGCCCTCTGGTCTCAAAAGAATCAAAGCTGGAGACAATTGCCGCGCTGGCGAGGGCTGGTTTTCTCCGGCATCAGCGGCTACTTATCATTCCCTGAGCTCTTTCCTGGGGAATCAAAGTCTTGGCTGCCGGCCTCTCCCCCACCTCCTCTCCCCTTTCTTTTCCATGCGCGTCCCCCCAGAGGCACACACACAGACAGCACACTGTGCACAGACGGATGGACGTGCGCGCCTGGCACAAAGCTGAGGCTAAGCACACGCTGGCAAAGCTCCTCTCCCTGCAGAGCCGGGAGCTGGCTAGGAAACAACTGATCTGTGGCCTACCTTCCGATTCCGTCAGGTCTGAAATGAAGGCAGCAGCCGGCTCCAGTGGCAGGGGCTGGGGCTGCCTCTGTGAATCAGCAAAGAAGTCCCTGTGACAGGGATGCATGCTGAGGCTCAGCCTTGCTGTGGGCACGCTCTGGCTCTCTCCTCCTCCACCAGCCCGTGCTGCTGTGTTGCTATGCAATCATATCACCAGGAGTAACAGCATCCTTCCAACCTCAGGCAGGGATACCCTTGACTGGGCAATTCGGGAGCACACCAAGGACAGCTCTGTGCAGTGCCTGGATTTGTGGAGGTTCCTTGGCAAGCGATCAAAGGCATGCAGGAAAGAAAAGAAAAGGGGAAATACAAAGGGAGAGAAACGCACACCCAGAGGTAGGAGGAGACAAAATACACACAGAGACTGGGAGGGGAGAGAAGAGAAATACAAACACACAAATGCACTACAGCCTGGTCTCTGACAGACTCCTGGATTCACATGCACTCCGACAGCCTGCTGAGGTCTATCCCCAATGTTTCCAGCCTGGCGTGACAGCTCTCCTTTTAGGATACCTATGTCCATGTGTGCTGGAAATTGCTAGACAAGTTCTCAGACAAGGAATAAAGCAGCTTCAGTAAAACCCCAGGTATTCTTTACTCTTGCCCCAATTTAATAATTTCAGTAATGATTTGGTTATATTGAAATCAAAGGGGAAAAAACGTTTTGTTTCAGGCCCATATTCTGGGTTTTTTTGCAAAGGAAAACAACGGATCCAACAATCCCAAACATGGCAACATTTGGGTTGGGATTTGATACCCCAAGTGTGGTGGTGTTTGGATTCAGCCCCTTAGGGTTTGGGTCCTAATTTTGCTTTGAAACCACACACAGTCCTGGGGTTTGTATCTGTGCCTCTATGTAACACACCGATATAGTTACACTTTGCACTTTCCCCCACCTTCCACTCGAGGATCTCAAAGCACCATTATACCCATTGCTACAATGAGCAGTATTCCCCACAACATACCTTTTAAGATCCATGGGTCCTATGCATGCCTATCACAACATGTGGTATCTCTCGTTCAAGGCATCAAATGTCCCACAAGTAACTCCATAGGTTAAACCAGATAAACACTACGCTCTTGAATGAACTTACATAGAAAAATGATAAGGCCAGTGGACAAGCACTTTCCATGATGTAATCACTACATAGCTGACCTGTTGATCCTCCCTCTCATAAGAAGCCTACATAACACCTTCAATTGAAACACCTGGGAGCTTACACTTATAACTGCTAGACTCTAAAAAGCACAGTCTCAGCAGAGATACTGATTTGATGACTCAGTACAACACGCTGTAACCCTAACACATTACTTCTCTTTTTCTCCTGTGACTGCAGAGATATTAATTGTCCACTCCCCTCCTTAAATGGTCTCCTGCAATGCTAAACAACCTGTTCTGGTTTGGACTTAGCCGTGACACTCTGAATACGTTTCCCAGACTTGAAGAAGAGCTTAAAGCTTGTCTTTCACCAATAGAAAGTAGTCAGTAAGGGTACGTCTACACAGCATTATTGCAGAATAACTGATATTATTTCAAAATAATAAAGAGCACGTCTACACAGCAAGCCATTACTTCAAAATAATTTGAAATGGTGACAGTGCCAAAAGCCAAATTAAGCTATTTCAACTTCAGCTACACAACTGACATTGTTGAAGTTGCCTAGCTTAATTCGACTTTTGCCCTGCAGCGTAGACTAGGGATGTTAAATATCAGTTAATTGAATAGTCGAGTGACCTCATGAAATTTTATCGGTGAGTCAACTATTCCATAGTCTCCGAGGGCAGGGCGGGGCGGGGTTGGCAGCCACTGTATCAGAGGTAGCAGTGCGGGGTGCCAGGCAGCAGCTGGTCTGTGAGGGGAGTCAGTTTAAAAACCTGTCACCCTGTGCTGTTGCTTCTGAGAAAGAGGCAGCAGTGCAGAGTGACAGCAGTCCCTGTCTGGGGGGTGGGTTTGAGCTCCTGGACCTGGCACGAGCCAGAACTGAGCTGGGCTGCCTGCCTGCCTGGCTCTTAATACACTTGAAATGCAGAGCTGAAATCAGGGTAAGTCCCGGACCTGGTGTGAGCCAGGACTGAGCCAGGCTACCTGCCCGTCTGGCTCCTAACACTTTAAATGCAGAGCCACATCAGGGGTAGGTCCTGGACCCATCACAAGTCCGGACTGAGCCAGACTGCTGGCCAACCAGCTAAAAAATGTACTGGTAGGAGAGGGGGAGAGGGAAATGCATGTAGTCTATAGCATTAACATATTAGCTTTTGCTTACTGGTTAATCAACTATACTATTACATCCCGGCTGTGTCTAGACTGCATCCCTTTTCCGTAAAAGGGATGCAAATTAGACACATCGCAATTGCAAATGAAGCGGGGATTTAAATCCCCCCCACTTCATTTGCATAAACATGGCTGCCGCTTTTGTCGTCCGCTTTTTTCCGGCTCGGCGCTTTGCCAGAAAAAAGCCAATCTAGACGGGGATCTTTAGGAAAATAAAGCCTTTTCCGAAAGATCCCTTATTCCTCTTAAAATAGGGAATAAGGGATCTTTCGGAAAAGGGTGTATTTTCCGAAAGATCCGCATCTAGACTAGAGTTTTTTTCCGGCAAAGCTCCGAGCTAGAAAAAAGCGGCAACCATGTTTATGCAAATGAAGCGGGGGGGATTTAAATCCCCACTTCATTTGCAATTGCGATGTGTCTAATTTGCAACCCTTTTACGGAAAAGGGAAGCAGTCTAGACAAAGCCCCCTAGTGTAGACGTGCCCTAAGAGACTACCTCACCCACCTGGTCTCTCATATTCAGGACTAACATGGTGACAACAAAGCTGCAACAAAAAATATTTCCTGTCTGCCAGGCCATGCTGTTGCATAAAACAGCTGTGGTGTTCACACAGGGGTTTGCAGGAGTTAAGGGGATCAGGGTGGTGCCTCAAGAGCTTTAGCACTTCAGGAGCAGAACTAGTTGCTGCGTAGGCCTGGTTTACACAACAAAATTAGGTCGGTTTAGCTATGTCGGAAAACTCTGCACCTCTAGCAGTGTTGTTAAGCGGACGTCAGTCCCTGTGGGGGGCTGCACTAGGTTGATGGAAGAATTCTACTGCCAGCCACCGACCCGAAAGGCAATGACGCTGAAGCACCGCTGTGGTGCAGTTGTGCTGCTGTAGCATTAGGTGCAGATGAGCCTTTATTCCCAGTGCGTGGAAGAAACAGGGATGTTCATGGGATATGAAGCCTTTCACCTTTAAGATGCTGTCACCTTACTGGGTTCGAATGTGATCATTGTGCAGATCATTGTGTATACACGCCCCAAATTTGGCGCAAAGTGGGCCATGTCAGGTGCCAAATGAAAGCTTGCGCTCTGCTGCCTGGCCAGGCTACTCATGTGCTTGTACAATCCGTGTGTAGAGTTATGAATATGGCTTTGGGTTTATGTCTTACGTGTTTTCTATTGGAAGGGACCGTGGCTCAATGCTGCATGGACAGTGGCTCTTAACGGCTGTCAGACGACACCTGGGGAGCTCTCAGTGGCCCCTTGCCTGAGAAGGACACACCTGCATACTCAGTGGCTCCTTGCCTAAAAGAATTACAGACTGGTTTGGTGGTCATGTGATCAGCCCCATGTTGGGAGGAACCAGCACCCAGGGGAACAATGGATTTTTCCCTCCGCATGAACCAGGTTGCAAAAGCACCTTCATCTGGTCTTCACTCCTGCCCTCTGCTCCAAAAGCACCTTTGCCAAGGACTGAGGGCCCAGAATGATTTGTGGACCCAACCTAGCATAGGATTGACACTAGAGACTTTTCTGCTAAGAGCCTGCAAGAACTTGGTGACTGATGTATGGAATATTTTTGCTTTAACAATCCTATTCTTAACCATTTCTTTCTTTCTTTCATTAATGAACCTTTAGATTTTAAAGGATTGGCCCAGCAGGCTCTTTTGGGTAAGATCGAAGGTATAAATTGGCCTTGGAATGTGGCTGAACCTTTGGGAGTGGGAGAACTTGTTTGGAGTTGGTGAGACTGGGTTTTATAACCTCTCATCTGTATAAGGACCAGTGCTGGTTGTGGCAGAGGTAAAGGGGGAACCCCAGTCTCAGGCTGTAAGTAGCCCTGCTCCTAAGCAATTTGCCCTGATTTGACCCTCTCCAACAGTGCCACCAGACCACCTGGAATATTACAGTTGCCAGTTAAAATCTGGTCCACGTCCAGGATGGCAGGACTATTACAATGTTCTATGAAACTAATTGGATAGCCCTTAGCACAGCTCCCACGTAAACAGTGTGAACATCATAATTGCTATTAACTGGTACTCCTGTCAGCCCTGGCACCGGGACCCAGCACTGAATAGACCATGGCAACTTTTACCCTGCCTCTCTAAGATGGGCTCTCCAGGTCAGGAATAGAGCTGGGAGGGAAATGGTCTTCTGCCATGACAATTTTCAAGATATCAAAAAAGTGCAGTCTTGAATTGGAATGAACAGTTGAAGTTGCAAAAATTTGTGAACTCAAAACCTGCAAAAAAAATTTGCAGTTTAGTTAAATCAAAACAAAGTGCTTTGAGCGTTATGGAATCACTCATTTTGACCTCTTTCCTTTAACTTCTTTTATTACATTTCACACTGACATCTCGAAATGACTCATTTCGACTCAAAAAGCCAAAGCTTTTCATTTTGCAGGCACCGAACTGGGATACTGGACAATTTTGAAATTTATTTAGCTTATAATTGCTCAAGTCAGGAGACCTGTCAAAACCAACCCTGGTTTCAATGAACTGGCATTTGGGGATTTATTGACAACATTTCCAACTAGCTTTAAATGGGGAGGAAGGTACTCCCACGCTGTGCAAACCACACCTGTGCCGTGGATAAATATAGAGCTCAGGTAAATGTTTGGAAAAAGAAAACACATCTTAAAATAGACTCAGACTCATAGACTTTAAGGTCAGACGGGACCATTATGATCATCTAGTCTGACCCCCTGCACAGTGCAGGCCACAAAATCTCACCCACCCCTCCTAGAATAATCCTCTCACCTATATCTCAGATATTGAAGCCTTCAAATACTTTGAAGACCCCAAGATGCAGAGAATCCTCCAGCTGTGATCTGTACCCCATGCTACAGAGCAAGGCGAAAAACCTCCAGGGCCTCTGCCAATCTACCCTGGAAGAAAATTCCTTCCCGACCCCAAATAGGGCGATCAGCTAAACCCTGAGCATGTGGGCAAGACTCATCAGCCAGACACCCAGCAAGTTCTCTATAGTAACTCCTATCATCCCTCCATTGACCTATTTCCCACTGATAATGAA